GCGCCGCGGGGGGGGGGGCGCCAAAGCATTGGATCAGCGGATGATCTGAAGCCACGTCCCTGGGAGGGATCAGCAGGTCGACTTGTTTGTTTTAGAATAAATAACTTTATTAAAGAATAATTCAAATAAAATTAAAGATGGCGTCCTTAGTGGGTGGCGCTGGGGGGCACAGCAGCTCATTGTTGGGGGGGCATGGCCCGCGAATGCTCCCCCCTAACGTCGACCTGTATTGGTAGTAATCCTGCTCTGCAATGCAGGAAGCAGCCGACGGATTGACACGATGAATAAAAGATGCTGCTGATGTGGAGGTTCAGTGCCGACCTCAGCAGGCCGTGTTCGATGGCTGGCGGGGAGGAGAGCCGACGTCCATCACAGCCATAGCATCCCGAGGAGGGGGAGAGCTTCACTGATCTGAGAACAGCCACTCCAACCCTCCTAAGCACACCTGCTCTGCAGCTCTGGGTGCGTCCAGCTGCTTAATTAACATGCTTAATCATCACCTGGCTGCTAATAATTCCCTGTCTACTTTCTATTCATAAATATTCAAATTATTATCTCAAGCAAAAGAAATCAGAATTTCACATGATTTTGCCAAGGGTGTTTACAGGTTCGAGGGCTTTGTTCTGGTTCATGTCACACATCACGTAACCCAGAAAAAACAGATGCAAATTTAAAAAAAAAAATATATATATATATATATATATAATATACTGTATGTAACAATATAACTTTGAAATTCAAGTTGCAAGATTTGTTTGTCACACACACAATGGGACACGGTACCATTGTGCAGTGAAACGCCAATCCATCTGTTTCCCGGATTGGGCTTGTCGAAAAATGTGGTAGGCCTACAAGAAAATACCAAAACAGCAATAAATTTACAAAATAAAATCACTGCAATATCGGCAAAAAATAGAGAGCAGCATAAAGAACAGTTGAAAAAACTGATAAATATTTGACAGTGGGTTGGTAAACGTGTGCAGTGTACAGTGACTATAGCGGAGGAGACCCCCGGTCAGAATGCGGATGGCCTCAGTCTCTGGGTTTTGGCCTTCAGGCTGCAGTAGTGAGAAGGAGACTTTGTTGGGGGGGGGGCTCTTTTATTATTTCCAGTGCCTTGTCCCTGCACCTCCTCTTGGGGGTGGCCTGCAGGTCCAGGAGGTCATGCTCACCACTCTCCTGTTTGGCGTAGCTGACAGGAGATATATAAGAATGTGCATGCATGCAGTTTTTTATTGTTGTTGTTATTGTTGCTATTATTATAATAATTATTATTATTAATATTATTAATGCCCTAACAGCTTTGATTCATTAATAAGGGTTATACAATTGACCACCTTCCCATATTATATGCAGTATATTATTGATCTGTCGATAACAATTTGTAAAGGAACGATGGCTTATGGATGTTTTATGATGATCTGATGCCTAAATTATTTCCCTCGTCTGTTAATGCACCTTAAATGTAGGTTTTTACAACTTAAAAGCTGCAGCTGCAGAATCAGGGATGGGGAAGAGGGCAGGGGAAGTGAGGACGCCACTGAAACTGGATGTGGGAGCCAGCAGGAGGAACACCACTTATTCATTTTCAGTGGCCTAGCAGGTCGGCTTAGTGTAAAGCTTCCCAGATTTCCCAGGTTATTTTTCTCCTGCAGCTGGACCTGATTTTTTTTGGGGAAGTGAGTTTCTGGGCAGCTTGGGAGGTTGTTTGAGGCCTCTGCTAACCAAAACAGCGCCCACAGCGGTCTGGGCCGTCAGGTGGCGCAGATGCCAGGCATGATGGGCCACGCCCATCTCCCCGACCAGTCCTCATGAGGCCACGCCCACTTCCCCGACCAGGCCGAGTCCTCATGAGAGGCCACGCCCATCTCCCCGACCAGGCCGAGTCCTCATGAGAGGCCACGCCCATCTCCCCGACCAGGCCGAGTCCTCATGAGAGGCCACGCCCATCTCCCTGACCAGGCCGAGTCCTTATGATAGGCCATGCCCACTTCCCCGAACAGGCCGAGTCCTCATGATAGGCCACGCCCACTTCCCCGACCAGGCCAAGTCCTCATAAGACTGCTTCTCATGCTGCTTCCTTTCTTTGGATCCTGTGATGGCGGAAGGATCCACAATTCACAGTTGCTGATGGACAGGGTGCTCTTTGGTCACTATCAGATGTCAATAGAAATTGCATCAACACACAGCAGGGAAAAGAGCCATTTAAAATGGGTGTAGAAAAAGCTATATAGAAAGTATCGTTCTCATTCCAGAATTACATAATAAAATGAATGGATTAAGTGTGACAGTTTACAGCTTTTTAATTGGCACTTTGTGAGGTGGAGAACAATAAAAGTACGATAAATGAAGGAACAAGACCAGAAAAAGTGAGTCTGCAGGTTTGCTCTGTGCCAAGTCCAACGGTGAAAATGTACTGAGTTGGGCAACAGACACACCCATGTTAGCCAAAAGGCATTTAGCAATGCTGCGGAGTGTAGCTTCCTATCGGAACAGGAGCTCTTGTGAGGGCTGTCACATGGGCACAGTCCCCCCACCCGATGGGAAACCTGTCAGCTGTTTCTGAGATGAGCCGCATCCCATAATCAGCGCAGAGCTGTTATTTGTCATTTCAGGCCCCACTCATCCTGTCAGTGGCCTGTAGAGACAGTTAGCCCCGATTGGCTGCCCCGATTAGGTCCGCTGGAATCCGCCGTTACAATAACGGTCTTGTGTCGGGTTGTGGCGCACCCCCCCAGGACAGAACAAGAGCCCGCTGTGGAGATAAATGTAACGAAACGGGACAGGAATGTGCCAAACGGACCACGTGGGAGGAGACGGCCGTACTGTCTCTGAGACACGACGGCCGAGCTGTCAGAACCGGGCCCACCCGTCTGGTAGGACATGCTGCAGGGTCGGCCCAATCCACCAAATGCGGCCCAATCAGGTCCAGCGCTCCGCCATTGGTCCGCATTGAAGGGGAACCAGGTCGGGGATTTAAAGACCTTGAATAGATCATAAAACCCACACCGCAGAACTTTACACAGAAGTTTTGTTTTGGCTGCACAAACGGAGGAAACTATAAATGATTTACACACTTTAAAAATAAATGCAGACTGAAAACGCACGTTCAAATAAATATGACAGACGGTTCCGGCATCGGGCTGCATGGAGAATCTGCTAAAGAGGGAAACTGGCAGGAAGCGGCCATCGTGATCTGGCTGCATGTTCCCTGCGAGAGTGGCCTGGGCACTCATTGGTGGGCGTTTCCCATCGGGGGCGGGGCTTCCACACATCTCCACGCGACAGGGCAAGGCTTTTGCACCGCATCTCTCTCTCCGACACCCCAAGGACACCGCAACGTCGCTCCCTGACTTCCCCTTAAGCGCTGAATCAGATCTGGCTGTGGGTTGCTATGGTTTCCGTCGTTGTTGAGCAGGGCGGAAGGCAGCGAAACGTGTACTGAATCATCGGGGAAGTCCCAATCATATTCTGGCCGTTCTGTGTTTGGATGTCAGGTCTGATGCCAAGGGGGATGGGGTCTGCTCTCAGTGTGTGTGTGCGTGTGTGTGTGCGTGTGTGTGTGTGAATGCCTCCGATTGTGTACGGGTGCAATCTCGCTTGTATGTGATGGTGAGTAAATGTCCGCAGGCGTATGTTTAGACCTGAAAGGGGAACGGCGCGGTTGCCATGGCGAGTTGAAGCCTCGACTGGCAGCATGAACCAGACCTGGTGATTCGCACATGACAGCCGGCACCGCGGGGTGGGGGGGGGGGGCACTGTTCATCCCGGCAATGCAGGGGCCCCCGATTGAAAGGGGAACGCGGCCGGGTGTCCGAGTACCGGATATGAGGGGCCGGGCCCTCTGTCCTCTGCTGAATTGGGGCCCGCAAAGGCGGATTCTGAGCGGCTCCTCTCCGGATCTTTGAAGGATGGCATTCCCGAGGCTGAGCGATCGGGGGGGCCGGCCCACATGCCTCTTATCATGTTCCCCCTCAAAATCTCCATTTTCTTGCCCATACAAACCTAAATCCTAACAGGAACCCATCCCAGTATAAGTGGATATGTGCACTTTTGGAGAGAATCACCGACCTGTGCAGGTGGACGCTGATCTTCACGTCCCGAATCTCCCGATCAGGATGGCCCACCAGCGTGACCCCAAGCCAGCATCACATGACTAACAGGTATCTAAGCGCACAGCGAGACTCCCCCCCCCCATACTGATGGTGTTTACCCCCCAGGGTAATCCACACCCATTCCCCAGGGCATCGGGTCCCGGTGGCCAGCAGGAACAGGCTGAGGGCTGAATTCCCAGATCAGAGTCCCTGAGCTTAAGCTGTGCTCCTCACGCTAACCCACAATGCATTGCTGGAGATTCTTCATGTTCCGTCAGGACAGATAGATGAGTGAGACGGCCCAGATTGGCCACGCGGTGGACCGGCTGTCTCCGGCCGACGCTCTCAGCCTGCAATAACCTCTCCGGGTCTGTGGTGTTTCAGAGCAGAACGCCGGCATGTCGGACTTTAGCGGCTGGGTTGATAGCAGGCTCCTCCGCTGGGCAGGGCATGTAGAAGTGAGCCCTGGTGTGCTGTCACATGACCTCTGGTGCATCATATGGCCACAACTGTACTGCAGGTGCCAAAGAAGAAGGAAGAGTCAAATCACAGGACTCCCTGTGACTTACTGTGGCATACTGTAACTGTAACTCTGAATCACCGTTACTTACTGTGACACAATACGACTTACTGTGACTTATTATAATACACTGTGAGTTTCTGTGACTTATTGTGACTCACCATAGCTCACTGTGACTTACCGTGACCCATTGTGACTAAGACTGACTGTGACACACAGTGACTGACTGTGACACAAAGTGACTGGCTGTGACACACGGTAACTGACTGTGACTTACCGTGACCCACAGTGACTGACTTTGACTTTCTGTTACTTACTGTGACCCACTGTGACTCACTACGACTGACTGTGACATATTGTGACTCACTATGATTTACTGTGACTCACTGTGACTCACACAAAGGTCTGTAGTGCAGCACGCCTGCAGGTCCAAGGCCGGAACTGGGCCTTCGATCAATGTGATAAAGTACAGTAATAACGCAGGACAGGCTCTACTGGAGCGGGCCTCAGCCTGACCCTGGTGCCCGCAGTGTTTGTCAGCACGAACAAAGACCCACAAGAGGGCGGGCGGCCCACACACTTCCTGGCACTGCCACCCCTAAAAGCCGGTCACCAGGGAGATGTAAACGTTTCAGGGGTCTGCCAAGCATGCCCCACACAAAGGGCAGCGAGAGCGCGCTCCCAGAGGACACTAGCATTTAGCGGTTAGCAGTAAATTCCCTACTAATATCCACATGGAATGACAACACAGGGGGCGCCACAGAGCCCAGATCGCATAAACCCAGCTACAATCCAGCAGCCCACTGGGGAAGCTAATGTAAGTCACCTGTAGTCCTGTCTGGCTGACATCTGTGCTTTCCTCATTGTGTTTGTGGGAAAAAAGTGACTACAGAACCCAGCACCGGCGTCGTGTCCTTTGACTCAGGTGACATGATAAGAGCTCAGCGAAAATGGGGCATCACATGACTCAGCACACTGCTAATTACCAGGGGATTAAACCAAAGCATCTCTATGTCTGCAGCTGCATCTGGGTGCTCAACAGATCCCAGGAACCGAACAGACAATCAAACAGGAAGTTTTCATTCACGCAGAACTTCTTGAACAGAATGAAATGAGTAGGATAGACGGTTTGGAAGTTGGACATGTTCAAAATACCAGTGATTTAATCACGTCACAAGCTGACATTTCAGTAATGACTGAAATGCAGGGTTCCACATGTCCGGAGAGGAGACCGCGGTTCTGCTGCACCTGGGGGCTCGGCGGTTCCGGGTATGCAGCGAAACACGCCTGCACGCGGCGGATGACTGACTAGATCCCCCCCCCCCCCCGGCCCCTCCCCACACCCAGGTCTTGGCCCCCACTCAGCCACACTTACAGGACACAGTGTGGCTTTGTGTACACTGTACAGTGCTTCTGATTCCTGAAAGAGGGGGGGCAGGGGGCATTTAAAAAGGCAGGGCCGTTACGTACCTGGCCAGCCCGCCACAGGGCATGACAAATACCACTGGGGGGGGGGGGTGGTTGTGCTGCACAGCACAAAAACACTATTGATCCATTTAAAAAATATTATGGGAAAATGATGTAAGCGTGAACGCCACAATGGTCTCTGTATCAGGAAAACTCTGGTTCGTTCGCTAACGAGTTGTTTGCCCGGCAGGGTGGGTGCGTGGCGTTAAGGCGCTGAGTGCTGTGGCGGCGCCCCCCGGGGACCGTGTTGAGCTCATGAGCCTGACTGCTGGGCCTGATTATTAACCTGCCTGCCTTTAATCACAAAACAGCATCTCAATGACACTTAATGGCCTTGTTTGGAAGTGTTCTGGCTGTGAATCGCTCTCCGAGGCTCGTTACGCCGTGGCCCAAAATGGCCGGACGCACCGAAGGCGCTGGGCTCCTCTCCCAGAATGCCACGCCGCCTCGTCCCCTCAGATAGCGAGCCAGCCAGCGCGTCAGTAACTTTTATTGGATCCTGAAAATGCAGATTCCGGATAATGAGCCGGTCCCAGGAACGTCACCGGACCTGGGAATTACTATCGGGGTCATTTTGAAGAAGAACATATATGGGGGGTTTTATGGGCCTTTTTGGTGTCCGTGCACAGAGGACATGAAGGGCGTGCCATAAGGACACAGAGCGAGAGAGGGGAGGAGGACACAGGTGGGGGGGGGGGGGGGGGGGGGGGGGGGGGGGGGGGGGGGGGGGGGGGGGGAGGCAGGGAGGTGCTGCTTTCAATAAATAAGACTGACAAACAGATGGCAATAAACAAATAATGGATGCGTTGTAGTGTGATTAGTGCATATTTATCGTGCATTTTGCTTTTTGTTGCGTCATTTTTGAGTATCAGAGTCTGAAGCCGAATCCCCATCTTCCCAGCATCAGCGCTTTGGATGGGGTTGAGTGTAGCGGACGGCTGTTGGAACCCATTAGCTAGCTTATTATGTAGCGTGCTGGCGCTCTTGACTGCGGGTGTACAGGGGGAGAGCTTGAAATTCGGGGCCCCCTGGCAAAATGTCAATTAAAATGTCAAATTCAATTGGCAGAGCAGAGGTAGGCATATAATGTTCCCCAATCATGTAATATATTTCATATGTTTGCGCATCTGTGTGTGTGTGTGTGTGTGTTTTGCATATATTACATTATGGGGATAAAAACCTGTCATTTTCATGTTGTGGGGACCATTGTTTTGCAAATGAATTAGGCCATGAGGAGGATCACATGGTCTGTTATGGAGCATTGCTTGTGTTATAAAACCAAAAAAAGTTGCTACTATTTCTGACATGAGCCTCTAATCCCCAAGGAGAAAGTTTTAGAAAAATGGGGGCCACTCTGCTAAGGAGTCACGGATGTTTAGAACCGCTGGAGGTGAGGTGAGGTAGACAGTTAATCGTTTCCTATTAGCAACAGACACAGCGATAGCAGATGAAAGGTCCTGACTCCAGGACAGAGAAGGGTTTCAGTTTAGTTTCCACGGAGACCAGTGAAGACCAGAGGGCTGATTCATGATCACGAGCAGTGCGGCGAAAGGGTTCCGCAAAAAGCCCCCTGCACAGCTGTTCTGGAACACGACCGCTCACCACGAGACCTGGCGGGATAGCTCAGAGCTTTGCGGTCTCGTCTGAGTGGAGAAGTGGGGCCCAGACACCTCTTAAGGAGATCTCGCTGTCATGGAAACGGAGTTTAATACCCCCCCTGATGACAGAATACTCAAAAATAAGGTGCAAATACCAGAGGTCGCCTGTCACCTTCCTCAAAATGATGAAAGAAACACCTTCTGTCTGTAACACCAAAAGTCAAAATGTATCCCATAATAAGAAGCCCGATTTCTATGCCCCGCAGCACACATCTGGTAATCGTCAGAATTAATGATGACTCTTAATTAAAAATATTCTTTCTCATACTCTCCAAAGCTTGAAGAAAAAAACAATATCCAGTCTGACCGTGCCTAAATGTATGAAAGCGAACTGTAAACTAGTTGCGAAAAATTTTCTGCAGGGTTATAAAACTTTTTTCAGCACAATAACGTTTTATGATACATGTTAGAACATTTGTGTGTGCGCTGACGTCAGCGTCACTGTACAAACCCTACGGGCGTGAAGTGAACATCAGGAACAATTTTCATGGCAAAAAAACGCTAAGGATTGTGGGTAACTGTGATCCTGACCTCCAACATGCGGACTGCAGATAAAGCTTCAAAACTCCTTTGATAACATTTTCACTGTTTGGTGAATGTCTTAAGAAATCAGAGATGCTAACCTCCAACATGTGTATCTACAGATGACCGGCAAACATCTCCGCCTCCCGCGAGTTTGAAGAGGGGTGAGGCATGAGCAGGTATGTCTGCAGGGGACAGGGATCCAATCCAGAAGGTACTTAAGATATTTTGTGCTACAATGACTAGTAAAGGTGCCTCCTTATCTTCCCTGAATGTCATCATGTTGCACGATGGTCCTTGAATAGTCTTATTAGGTTCTTGCTCTGTTAGAAGTTGTTGTGTAGTTCCTGCTCTGATTCTGCTTACACTCGTACCTGGACATTCACTGGATGCTCAGCCAAGCTGCACTTATGCCTATTCGACTCCTTGACAGATGAATGTTTGTAATGTGCTATTTACCAAACTTGTACGTCACTTTGAACAAAAGTGTCTGCTAAATATGTAAATTTGACATAAAGTCGTCCTGTTACGTGAGCGGGGAAACGGACATCCTGGGGTGGGGTTTAATCAGCTGATGAGTCCACAGATCACCTGTATCCTAAGTTCCTAACAGACTGGCATCATGAAAAATAATTCCTACATATGCCCAGACCCTGACGGTCCCAGTTGCAGCCCGTCCATGACCCAAGATCTGGTTTGATTTCGTGTACCTGTATCTGCTGAAATGGACGCCCTTTACCCTTTCTTATCTGTGGCATTGGAGGCTAGAACAGGCCACAGCATTCATAATATACCATGGGGGTACCTCTTATCTCAGGTGGACCCAATGCTGAAGGGAACCTGAACATTCAATTTTCACGCTTAACCAACCAGAGCGACACGGGTCCCAGCAAGCAGAACCCCAAGTGACCTGTTAAACAGAGACAGTGAAAGGTGACTACAAGGCCCATGTGCCGAGAGCTCCAAAGGAGCCTGAAGGCTGATCTCCCCCAGGATATCCACCCCCCGCCCCCCCCTGTCCAGGTTCAGAACAGGCCTCTGTTTTATATTAGTCAGGAATGACGGCAAACAACCATGAGTGAGCAAGATTCGATTTTCCAGCTGGAGTCCTTCTGATGCTGTAAGAGAACAGGAACAACACAAGCTTTCTTCTGCAGAGTTTCCACCAGAAGTAAAGTGCATGAGGCATCCACCCTCCTGGCATCAAGCGGAACTGGTGAGGGAGAGAGAGGCACGTCACCGAGAACGAGAGCGGCTCCCAGAAGCAGACCTCAAAGCTTGTTATGTCGCCTCTGTATCTCCGTCCGCCTTGTGGTCGACACATCTTGTGATCTTCTTCCCAAAATG